CCAGAATAGACACATTCATAGGGACAGAAAATAAATTACTGGTTGCCAGGGGGTGGGAGGAGAGTGGAATGGGGAGTAACTACAAATAGGTAAGAAGTTTCCTTGTGGGATAATGAAAAAGTTCTGGAATCTAGTGGTGATGGTTGCACAACTGTGTAAAAGTATGACACCAATTTTATTAATAAAATGCATATAATTACGTACATATCCACAGATTGGTAAAGCAAAATAAGCAGGAGGCAATTAGCATAATGTTGTTTTGTACCCAGAGCTCTTAGGTAAGCACACAGAAATTTAACTTGGAAACATTTCTTATAACTGATTTGATTAAAACAAACAACTTCTGTCAATCACAACAAACCAACCAGCTGATTGGTTATATGGTTAGAAACCTCCCATTAGACTGTGCCTGATTAAGGCAGATGCCTTATCACAGCCAAATAAGGCAAACACCCAGCTGGCCAATCAGGTGATATCTCTACTTATGTGTTCAGCCTATAAAAGCTCACTGCTTATGCTACTGGGTGGAGCTCTCTGAACCTTCTCTGGTTCCAGGTGCTGCCTGATTGAATTGTTCTTTGCTCAAACTCTGTCAACTCTATTTTCCCCGCCCCCTACCCTCCTCCCATTGTTTGCAGTTTCATTTTCTGTGGTTTTGGTTACTCACGGTCAACTATGGTCTGAAAATATTAAATGGAAAATTGCAGAAATAATTCCTAAATTTTAAAATACATGCTGGTCTGAGTAGCATGATGAAATCTCATGCTGTCCTGTTCTATTCAGCCTGGGACATAAATCATCCCTCTGTCCTTCTATCCAGCATCTCCACGTTGTATATGCTGCTACCTGCCCAGCAGTCACTTAGTAGTCATCTCAGTTATAAGATTGACTGTGCAGTATAGTGTATATAGGGTTTGGTACTATCCTTGGTTTCAGGCATTCACTGCAGGTCTTGGAACAGGCATCCCCTGTGGAAAAGGGGGACTACTATGTACATATTAGATGGTGAGATAAAAAGTGATTTTTCTTTTCTTTTATTATGCTTTTCTCTTCTTTCTTCCCCTTCTCATAGAGAACATGCATTAGCTTTGTAGTTAAAAACCTGTTAAAATCAACTCAAATCAAATTCAAAAGCTGAGATCTTGCATTTCCGTAGTAATCTTTTAAGTGACTCAATGCAGATTATATCCACATTGAATTCTAGAATAAGTACAACTAAATTGTGCTGGGAAAAAATTTGGAAGAGCAGTTGTCTCTGGAGGGGTGGGGGCAGTGACTGACTAGGAAAGGGCATGAGGAATTTCTCTGGCACGACAGAAATTATAGTAATGGTCTTTATGTTGATGGAGTTTTGGGTTTCATAGGTGAGTGCATTTGTCAAAACTCAGGGAATGTATACTTAAGATTTATGCATTTAATCGTATGTAAATTTCACACAAAAATTATAAACAAATATCAAACTCAAATTAATGATAGCCATGCTGTACTAGTTAGGGGAAGTGTACTTTGAAATATATATATTTAAAAATAAGGTGGATTAATAGATGAATAGAGGTAATGGATAGAGAAATAGATACATGATAAAGCAAATATAGTAAAACATAAATGGTAGAATATAGGTGGTGAGTATGTGGGTGTTCACCACTTTATATTTGAAATTTTTAATAATAAAACCTGAGGGAAAAAGGAACCCAATATAAAGACTTTATTATCTATTCTGACTCCCAACACTCCATCTTTAATTGCCTCTTTTCTCACTGCCTGTTAGGTATTTCCACTTCATTGTAGAATTCATGTTCAACCCCTACAAATTATTCTTGCTTTCCTTTTTTATTAATGTTAACATCATTCTTCTAGTTGTGAACATTTTCTAGGATAAAAATCATTTTTCTTTCTCTCCTTTCTCCCCTATCCTCTAATCTAATTAAACTCTAAATTTTTCTAATTTTCATTTTATAGTGTCTCTTCTTTTTCCATTAGCACCACCTGAATTCTGCACCAATCACCTGCATCCTAGTGGCCATTTCCATGGAGAAATAAAATGCTATCACTAAGAAAATAATTTGCATGTAATTAAAAAGATGTAGATCTTTTCAAAGGCTTGTCTATAGAATGGTTCTGATAGAGTACTGTAATAGGATAGGAATATGCTTGGCTATTGGCAGTCTTCAAACTTTGAATTCCAGCCCCACATCCTTTTAGTTTGTATGATAATGACTTGAAACCAGTTCTGGATAATTTAGATGCATTCACCCCTATCACAGAAAACAGAAAGATAAGTATTCTGTATTATGATTTGCATCTATAGACAACTGGTTCTGCTAAGTGAACTATGTATGCTAAAATTATCAATTATCATTTTGGCAGATATCTACCACCAATTCCATCATATTATTCATTTACTTGCAGGCCTATTTAGCAACTAATTTATCTTGGAACATTCTCCAAGGAGTGAAATTGCTTACAATTAGATGCCCCTTGGGTACTTCATTAACTTTTTCCCGTTATGGATGTATTAGATAGCTGTTGGTAACATCTACCTTAAGATTTTACCATGTTAAAGTGATTATGGTTAGGATACAGTATTTTTTTTTTCAATTTATTTTTAGGATACAGTATTTTTGAATCTCAATGATCTATCTGTCTGTATGTAGGACTGGAACTGATTTTTGAGGAAAATTTGGCTTTGTTGAAAACATATTCCTGCTCCCACAGGAATATGGGGTGGCCATTTTTGGAGAGCCTTCATTCTTAAAAGAGCCTGTCAGCCCTGCTCTCATGTGGTTTGCAGAGCACAAGGGCCTTTGAAGACCTCCAGGTTTTTGAACCCTGTGGCAGTCAACTCTATCAAAAGCTCATGGAAATTGCTTTAAAATTATGCAGTCCATCAGTTCTTCCAGATATTTTAAACTTTATCTTCAGAAGCAGCCAGATCATCAGGGACATATATAACTGGTCTCTAGCATAAGCTTTCAGTAGATCACAATTTGGTCATATGCCCTTAGTTTACCACGAAGTCTCTATAAGAAAATGACTTAAAATTCATGATTGCATGCATTTATTTAAAGCTACAAATTATTGAGTGCTTATTCTTTCAGGCATCATGCTAGGTGCTTTCAGTGCGTCATTTAAATTTAATCCACCCAACCACCGTATGGAGTAGATATTCTATTTTACAGATCAGGATACTGAAGTTACACAGCTTGTAATGGCAGTAACAGGATTCAAACCTAGGTTGTGTGACTTTTAAATATGGTGACCTTATCCCACGAGGAAAGCTACTGGGAAATTTGCCACTATATTGCATACTATGTAATCTTAAGCATCTGTATAAATACCTTGACAAGCATTTTTGTTTTTAATCTTATATTCCTGATTTTATCCTTCTTCCCCACTTTTACTATTGCCCTATCGATTTCCTCAACTGTTTACTTTTGTGCCATTGTAATAATATATTTTTAATAAACTGCCTGAAATCCTTTTGGATTTATATTCCATTAAGGTATAAAGAAATAAAAAGGCTCCTCTGAAATCCTATAATAACTACTTTTATTTAATGTTGGCTGGGTTTTTCTCATATTACTTGCCTTTATTAAATTTTTGGGTTTATGTTCTAGTGTACACAGAAATAATTGAGGAAGCCTTCTATTTTAAACTGCCTGTGGTGCTTCTCTGAACACAACGGATAAATTTTACCCTAGGCTTGCACAGACAACACACATTTAGCCTTGGTATAGATAATCAGACGTTTGACGAAAAGAAGGGAGATTATAAGTAGTTAATGAATGAAAGTTCATAATAAAAGTTATTTTAAGAATTCCATTATTTTCCTCCTGTTTTGCTTGCTGAATCCCAAGGTCTACATACTGGTACCCTGTAACCATATCTCTTTTCACTCTCCTTTGGATTCTGTCCTAAAATTGTAAAGATACTTGTTTACATTAGAAGGTTATTTCCTAACAGGAATCACCACTTTTTGTCATTTTAAGAACTCCTCTTCTATACCATGCCATCTTTTTCCTAGATGGCCCAAGTTCATTGCCCTAACAGAGGACCTGATGTCAGCCATCCAAAGAGAACATTCTGCCTCCCTGTTTTCAGGTGAATTTCTTGGTAATGCTAAGTGTGAGCCTGCATGGAACACTGGTTTTCCCACTTGCTCCTTCGGCTATCTACGACGTCAGTGTGCCAAGTTTTGTGATCACATCACATTTTTTCACTCTGGCATGTTTTTGTTGTTGATTTTAACTTTTGCTGTTTTTTTTTTTTTTTGTTTGTTTGTTTGGTTTTTGTCTTGTTGGGTTTTATCCAGGAACTCATCTTACAGCCACCTTTGCCTTTCAGAAGCACTGCTCTAGCAGCTTTGCTGCTAACAATTCAGGGTGTAATCAGCTCAGACACAGCAATCAACTGTCGCTTAAATTCCCAGACAGTGAGTTGGCAAAATGAGATCTACTAGATTTAGGGTAAAAACGGAGGAGAAAGAAAAACAAATTAAGTATCATCTCATGCTAGTTGGGAATTATATGAGAACAATACATGTTTCACTTCTCTATTTCCAGATTTGAATCATTAGTGCAGCTCAAGTAGAGATATAGGTACAAGAGAGTAAATATCCTTTGAAAATTTTTCATTTCAAATTATACATACATTAAAAAAAAGACTGGGGCAAAGATTTACTTGCTTGCTTTTTACATCATATTAGCTCCTTCCACTAAGATGGTTTTCTCTCATCATAAAGTCAATTCTCTCTTATGAATTTCTTCCTCTTCAGGGATTCAGAGGCAAAATTCATAAGAAAACTAGTGAGCCAGGCACATTAAGCTTTTATGTAAAGTTTATCAGATTAAGTATTTGGGAATGGGAGGAACCTAGGGAGGAGAGAAAATTATTAATGAAAAGTAACAGTCAGGTTAAATTCCTACAATAAAACATTCCAGTGGTTCTGCAGATGGTTCTGCCTCTTGTTACTTCTTCATGTACTTCATATTCAGAAAAGATTTTTCTTATAAACAAAGTAAATTTATTAAATAATTCAGCTTCCTACTTTTGTCAATATATAAGTGACAAATTTGAATGCCTGATCAACATTAGATGACAATGGTACTCTAGCAAAGGCAAAGAATTCCAACAATGAAGCCTTACAGTGAACTGATGTATGATTTCCATTATTTTGTCAAATATGGAATACAGATCTCCATTAATGTCTCTGTGCTCAAGGGGCCTAAACAGAGAATACTTGTAAAGACAGTCAAGAGGGTAAAGAAACCATAAGGAACAGAGAATCTGGGGTAAGGGAGGATCCTGCCAAGGGCCTCCTCTCTTTGGCATCCACATCAAATTATCTGCAAGTTTTTCAGATTGTATGTTACTTGTGTATTTTGAACCTTCTTGCTACAATCATGCTCTACCATCCACGAAGTTTCCACTCCAATAAGCTCTGTTAGGTTACAGCAAATGTTTCTATGACATCATGAGCTCATTTGTGATTGGTAAATAGGAGAATGAACTCAGTGTAACATGGAGTTGCTCTGGCTCCTAAGCATGGGCTCTGGAATTTAACCGCATGGAGGAAAAGAAAAAAGTTGTCAGTCATTTCAACTCCATTTTTAGAGAAATAAAATAAGTGTCTTGCATGATTCTGGGCCCCAGCAGTTTGCACTTCCTCCTGTGTTCAGAGCTCCTCTTGCACCTGCTTTGCTCAGCATGCAGAAGCAAGTATTCCTATTTGATTATTTTTTGCATTTTTAAGATCCCCTGAGGCAGCCTCCACCACATGATGAGTTGCCTGTCTGAGCCATCCAGGTTATCTCTGGAGGCACAATTATTGTTTGTGTTAGTGCTTTAGTTACAAAAATGTACAAATTTTGAGAAATTTATCCCTAATCTATTTTTACTGTAAGTTCTGTTCTTTTTAATGAACATTTTTTCAGAAAGCATGATTTTTCAGGAATGTATATCTTGTCTTATAGTAGAAATCCTATACTTTGTACTTAGTGGATGCTTAATAACAAATGCTGATGGATAATTTACAATTAATTATCTGGATCAGAGGAATTTTAAAAAGTGACACCAAGGAATGACTGTGTTGACAATGAACCTAATTACAAGAGTTGAGCAAGATCATTTGACTCTCTGGAGTATACTAAAAGTCATTTTAATTTGTATGATATATTTATCACTACTGTTTTAGAGAAACAGAAGCTAACTTTTCATTTTCAAGAATTGGTGAACAATCATCCATGAGTTCTTGAAGTTGAATAACAGGAAACTGTACTTGTTTTTCAAACCATTTGGCAATTGTAAGAAGCTGCTGGTCACAAAATGCACGTCCAATGAACTGCAGTCCTATTGGCAACCCTTGATTTGAGAGTGCCACAGGGATACTCACCGCTGGCAAACCTAAGGAAAAGAAAGAAACCCATTAGTTGGGTAATTCTCCATCCTAACACCAAGAACCAGAGACTTCTTCCACTTTCCAGTGCTAGTAGGTAGAAAATAGGTTACAACAAAAAATATTACACTATATACATTCTCTTGTGTCATACTTTGTTCATTGAACAATATATCTTGGAAATCACTCTGTATAGTTCAGAGACCTTTTTCATTCCTTTTTTATAGCTGTATAATACTCTATTATGTAGTTTTATCTTAATTTATTCAACCAGTCTTCTATGACTGGGCATTTAGTAAAACATTTAGCTATTTCAATGCCCCAAGTAAATTACCTATTTCTCAGATGAAGAGGGATTGCTTCATAAAGGATAAATGTATATATAATTAGATATTGCCAAATTCCACTCTGAAGAAGCTGTACCATTTTGGATTCCCACCAACAAAATGAGTGCTTCTTTTCCAATAGCCTTGCCAACAGAGTGTGTTGTTGAGCTTTTGAATTTTTGCTAATCTGTTTGATGAGAAATTAGCTCAGGGAAGTTTTAATTTCAGGTTTTAAATCCTAGCACAGAATTTTAATTCCAGATTTGGCACAGAGAAAGTGCAAGATCCTGGGACAACCTGTTATACCATAAGAAAAGAAGTTTTCAAAAATTAATGTGATCATCAAACACAATAATGACAGTAATTACTTATAATACATTGAATTTTTTTTTTAAAAGGAAAGTTCTTTAGAAAAGATTGCCAGCTAATAAATGTAGAAGGAATGATAGAATTAGAGAAGTCGGCACTTTGTAATTCTCTAGATAATAATATAGGCAAGGATCATCAATGGATGCTAAAACTGGGTTCAAGATTATTGGGGAATAGAATACTCACATGGTCTCAAAGTATCACCCCACAGATGGCTTATAAAAAAGAGAGAAAAAATGTACCTTTATAAAGAAAATATCTGGCTGTTATCTCCTGAACCAAGTGATCAACTTAGTTTCCAAAAGTGGAGCAAACTGATATTAACTGTTTCCTGATATGAAAAATATGTAGTATTTCTGCCAAAAATTTTAATTCAACCTGATCATGAGGAAACAATCTTATGAATCCACACTATGGATGGGACATCCTACAGGATAAGTGGACTGAACTCTTCAGAAAAGTCTGTGTTATTTAAAAGATAATTTTTTTTTTTTGTCTTTTTGTCTTTTTGTCTTTTTCCGTGTCCAGCAACGGATCGCAACCCTCAGTGTTGCCCCCGTACCGGACTGGGGACCGGCAACGGGATTGCAACCCTCGGCGTCGCTCCCGCGCCTCGCTCAGCCAGTGAGCGGGAACCGGTCTGTATGTGGGATCCGAACCCTCGGGCGGGAGCGCCGCCGTGCTTCCCAAGCGGCGCACTATCCAGTGCGCCACCGGGCCGGCCCCTTAAAAGATAATTTTTAAAAGGTGGGGGATTTCTCATCAGAAACTATACAGAAGAAAGAAGCATAACATTTTTTAAGTGCTAAAAACAAGAACTGCTGAACCAGAATCCTATGTTGAGCAAAAATAAAGTTTAAAAATGAAGAGGAAATCAGGACATTCCTAGAAGGAAAGCTAAGAGAATTCATCACCAGCAGATCTACCCTAAAAAAAAAAAATGGATGAAGAAATTTCTCCAAATAGAAAGGAAGTGGTTAAAGAATGGATCTTGGTACTTCAGGAAGGAAAAATGAACATAGTAAGCAAAAGTATTAAATACAATAGACTTCCCTTTTCTTCTTGAGTTTTCTACATTATGTTTGACAACTGAAACAAAAATTATAGCCTGATATGGTTCTAAAAAAACCCAGAGAGGTGTGGTGCGTATTCTAGATTTTAAAAAGATATCATAAACAAATGTAATATATCAGGGGAAAAACAACTTACAAAAGACATTTTTGGTACAATTGAGAATATTTGAATATGGATACATCTGGATTATTACTGAATTTAATGTCAGTTTTCTTAGGTGTGATAATGAAATTGTGGTTATGTAAGAGAATGTCTTTATTCTTAGGAGATTTATGCTGAAGTATTTAGGGTTGAAGTGTTGTGATATCTGAAATTTTCTTTCAAACAATACAGCTGAAAACAAAGCATATATGTGTGTGTTTGTGCAGAAAGAGATAAAAAAAGGAGAAAGCAAATGAGGCGAAATGTTAACAAGAATGAATCCAGGTGAAGACCATATCAGTATTCATCATACTACTCTTTTCAGCTTTTCTGTAGGTCTGGAAGTTTTCAAACTGAAAGTTAAAAAATATACTATTATTGGTTCATAATATAGGTGTGAATGTGAGTGAGAGTGAACATGTGGTACATACACACACATACATTCATAAGCATGCTGGAAGGACAGACTATTTGCTTTTAGGGAACAATCTAGCTAGAACCTAAGTTGAAGACCAGGGTACCTGCCTAAGAATTTGAAGAAAACCAGAAAGTTCTTGAGGGATCCTTACCTGCCATGTTTACAGCCTGTGTAAAAATATCATCCTGGGCACTTCGTGTCCTGTTGTCTTCTTTGATAAACTCTGAGTATGGTACTGCCTCACTCAAGGTGGTGGGAGTTAGCAAGACATTTACTCCAGAGTTAAAAACATTTACAAAATCATTAGCAATGAGGCGCCTCACTTTCTGTGCTTTGAGGAAATAATTTTCATAGTTCCTGTGGAAAAAAATAGATGATATTTTAAGGGCTTTTTGTATTTTTCTTTGAATGAATTCTCTTACATTAGACTTGTTAAAAAACCACTAGATTCTTGGCTTTTATGAGCACGTATCACTAAGATTCCTCATAACACATGTGATGGTTAATTCTAGGTATCAACTGGATTAAATTAAGGAATACCTAGAAACCTGGTAAAGCTATATTTTTGGGTGTGTCCATGAGTGTGTTTCCAGAAGAGATTAGCATGTGGGCCTTAGTGGACTTGGAGGGAAAGATCTGCCTTTCAATATGGGTGGGAACCATCCTATATGCTGGGGGTCTGGAGAGAACAAAAATGGAGGAAAAGGTGAATATCTGCTGGAGCTGGGATACTCTCTGCTCTCCTGTGTGTAGATGTCGGAACTCAAGACTCTTCAGCCTTTGGGTTCCAGGGCTTACACCAACGGCACCATCAGCTTCCCTGGTTTTAAGGCCTTTGGACTTGGACTGAGCCACACTACTGGCATTCAGTTTGCAGACGGCCTACTGTTGGATTCCTCAGCCTTCAAAATCACATGAGCCAACTCCCTTAATAAATCCCATCTCACATAATTATATACAGGGCTGGCCAGTTAGCTCAGTTGGTTAGAATGCAGCTTTATAACACCAAGGTTACGGTTTGGATCCCCATACTGGCCAGCTGCCAAAAAAACCAAACAAACCAGAATCATATAATTAGATAAATATCGTATTGGTTCTGTCTCTCTGGAGAGCCCCGATTAATATAACACATCAAAATGAATTCTGTTCAACTATGCTGTTATTCTAAAAGTTCATCTATCTGGAATTTAATCAATCAGAATTCACTAGTTGTGGCAATCCTACACATATTATAACAAAATACTAATACATCTAGTGATATCACTGAACCAGAACATCCATTTTCAGGTGAGGACAGTAAAGTGCATAGTAATTAATGACTTTCTGAAGGTTATAAAGATAGACAGTGGTAGAGTAGACTAGAACTTAAGTCCTAGAGGCTAGTTCCAATCCTCTTTCTATTATAATGTCTTATTTCACCTACAGCAATATGATAACTAATAATTATAAGGACTCTGAGGTTTTGCAAAATTCTAACATGCCATTTGAATTAGACACTAGGAAACACTTTTAGGCAACAGGTTCTGGAAAAAGAAACTGGGGAAAGTATGCAGTTTTTTTGGTTTTTTTTTTAAAAGATGACCGGTAAGGGGATCTCAACCCTTGGCTTGGTGTTGTCAACACCACACTCAGCCAGTGAGCTAACTGGCCATCCCTATATAGGATTTGAACCCGTGGCCTTGGTGTTTTTAGCACTGCACTGTCCTGAGTGAGCCACGGGCCGGCCCGATGCAGTGTTTTTAAGTTTGTGTTTTGTGAATAGGCATAGCCCAGGAATGAAATGTGAAATTCTAGAAAAGATGCTTATTTTACTAAAAAGATTAAGAAAAAAGCCAGACATAGGAGTGACCATAAATCAGAGATGCAAAGAAAGGTAAGAAGAAAAATTTTTAGATCCTTCCAAGGCTGTTAAGGAAGGCTGACAAAGATGCTCACTGCTCTAAATCTGTTTCCTCAACTGTAAAAAATGGATATAACAACTGCAGTTCTTACTGAGGGCCAAATAAAATGAGACAAAAATGTAAAATCTTTTTTACCCTAAAAGTGCTATAGAAATTTCAAATAACCTTACTATCATTTGACCAGAGTCTATAGACAGATCATTGCAGGCATCACATGTAATTTGCACAACAATAACAGTTGGTAGTTTAAATACAGCATTAACAGTATTCCTAAAACCTGAATTTTATAAGAAAAAGTATTTCTTTTCTATTAAATTTCTTCCTACTTTAAATATGGCTCAAAAGTAGAACTTCTGCTTCTATCCATGATGGAGTAATAGGGATGGAATTTGGAAGGGACAAGCACATTTACCCTGTGATTTGAATGTGTGTCCCTTCCAAAACTCCTGTTGAAATTTAACTGCCATTGTAATAGTATTAAGGGGTGAGACCGTGAAGAGGTGATTAGGCCATGAGGGCTCCACTCTCATGGGTGGGATTGGTGCCATTATAAAAGGGTGAGTTCAGCCCTCTCTTTCTCTCTCTCTTGCCTTTCTGCCTTCTGCCATGGGGTGATATAGCAAGAAGGTTGTCACCAGGTATGGGCCTCTTGATCTTGGATTTTCCAGCCTCCAGAACTGTAAGCCAATAAAATTCTTTTCTTTATAAACTACCTAGTCTCAGGTATTCTGTTACAACAACAATAAAAATAGACTAAGACATCCTGCCTTCTAGAGAACAAAATATTAGACAACAGACATTAGACCACAGCATTCAGAAGAGAGAGTTCTGAGAGAAGGAAAGCAAATGAGGTAAGCCCTTTGATTTCCCCAGCTTAATGCCTGGAGGCCATTTTCAGGTCTCATTCCAGAGAGGAGAAACCGAAACAGAGTTTGGGGGTGGTGCAGGGGACATCTCAGTAAGTTAAAGAGACAGAGATCTGAAGTTCAGGGAGGCAAAGACAGCTAGAATTTGCAAAGCAGAGTACTGCATAGGAGGGAGGAGCATTCAGAGAGAGCTCAAGAGATCTGCAAGGAGATCCCTTGAGTCTTTGGCTGAGTACTCATCTGTGCATGCTTGAGAAGAAACCCCTAAGGCTGGGGAAAGAAGCACCAAAAAGTAGTAGGCCAAACAATTCCTAGAGTTCATACAGGGTTGAAAATAGTTTGTGTTCCCAACAGCCAAAGTGGAAAGACCTCATAATATATGGAGTATCTGGAGAAATTTTCAAGGGTATCACTTTAAAGTTAAATCAGCCCTTGACCAAAGGCTGTTTTGGACTTATTCTAAAAAACCTTAAAATTCTTGAGAAAATTCAACAGATTCCAAGTAACTTAACTGCATCAAGTAACTTAATTGCATCCCAGAACAAAGCCCAACACAGTTTGAAGGAATACAACAAAAATCCAGCAAATGACAATGTAAAATTCACAATGTCTAGGCATGCAAAGAAGCAGAAAAAATGACCCATAACCAGGGGGAAGAAAAGCTATTAAATAGATCCAGAAATGACAGAAATGATGGAATTAGCAGATAAGGACATTAACAAAGCTACTATAAATATGTTATATATGCTTAAGGTAGAGGAAAACTTAAAATGATGGAAAAACTGAAGAGATAAGAAGGCCTACTTGAAGAAAGAGAAACAAACAAAAAGACCTACTTGAAACTTCTAGGGATAAAAAATAAAATATATGAAATAAATACACTGGAGAGGATTGACAGCAGATTGACACAACAGAAGAAAAGATCAGTGACTCTGAAAACAGTACTGGAAAGTATCCAAAAGGAAGAACATAGAAAAAAAAGACTGGGGGGTGGGGGGGGGGGGGAAAAGAATGGAA